CCCCGGCTCGGCTGCAGCTGCAGCAGGTACTTTGCTCCTTCCTCGCCCCGCTCACGCCCCCACCGAAAAGGTTTGCAAATTTGACGAAGCCAGAACAATAGTTTCTCCTGGCAGCCCCTCTGTTTACTTGTTTAGAAATCCCAGAGGCGTTTCGAGGTAAAAAGGTCAGAGCTGTACCCGAGCTCGCTGCCTCCTCCCTCCCGCCCGGCCCCTCGACGGCTCCATCCCTCCGCGAACGGGTCCTGCGTGTTGCTTCTACTGCGGGAAACACCTTTGAGGGGTCTCCTTGGGAACCTGAAAGGAGGAAACCGAATTGACCTTTCGTTTGGAGTGGGATCGGCCTCCCAAAATTGTTCCGTATCACCGAGAACCTCAGTGTAGCCCGCACCCCGGGTCCCCAGCCCGTTCCAGCTAACGCTGCTGCTCCCGTGCCGGGCTGCTGATGCTGAGGAGGATGAGGAGGATGAGGAGGGTGATTTTCTGTTCTCCTCAGGCCTCGTCGCGTTGCCAAATAGTCTCACGTGGGGAGCCCCGGGCCCGATCCTGCCGATGCCGAGGGGAGTGTCGGGGGGGTCCGCGCAGGGTGCCGGGTGGGCCGGGCTTATCGTTTCGTAGTATTTTTCCTTCCTCCTCCTCCTCCTCCTCTTCCTCCTCTATTCGAGCCCGGGCTCCCCCCGCCCCGCGTTTCCCTGGACGGGCCGGATTTCCATTGCACTTAAAGCCGAGGGGACTCGCATGTGGAAAAAGTAAACTTTATTGGGCTGAGGTAGTTCCATTTCGAGATACAGAGCACGGGGAAGGGAGTGGAGGGGAAACGGGAGATTCTGATTAAGAAATCGCTAGTTTTTTTGTTTGGTTTTGTTGGTTTTGTTTTTTCTCGATGACGTTTTTCCCTTTAAAACAATCTTTAACAAAAAAAAAACCGACGTGGTTTTCAGTTCGTCCTACCCTAAAGTTTCTCGCGGGGAAGGAAAACAATTTAGCCATGGTTAAATAATGTTTTTCTCGGCCTCCAGTAAGCCTCAGAGGGAGATGGGGCACAAGGGCTGGTGCTGCTTGGCTCCAGGACTTGAGGCTATCGAGACGTACAAGTGCATCAGTGCCGGGGGGAGCCAAGCCCCTCGGTGTGTCCCCCCCGCAGCCTTGTCCCCGTCCACCTTCACACCTCTACGACAATGACCCAAAAAAGTGAGCCCAAAGCACCCCGAGCTCGTCCTTCGCCTGGTCTCGTTTGCTCCCAGAGCCCATCCCTCCCTCCCCCAGGACCAGGACTAGTCAGAGAGTCTCAGAGCGTGTCGAAAACCCTGTAAAGCAGCAATAGTGCAAAGTGGTAGCAGGAAAATAGCATTTTTTTGCTCGGTGTTGGGCTCTTTTCGGAGGCCTCCAGCATCTCGGGCGCCTCAGATCTCGTTCCAAGATATACATACAGTAAATAAAAGGGAAACAAAAAGAAAAACCCTAAAAAAATACCCAAAACTTTTTCTTTTACAGCCTCGAGGGGAGGAAAAACACATCGAAGGCAGGATTCTCTCGGGCAAAAGCCGTTGTGCACGTTTTTTTTAAAAAAAAAAAAGGGAGAAAACGAAATTCGTTTTAAAGTTTCCGTAGTTGAAAGTGCAGTTCCTAGAGGGGGAAGGAGAAGGGAGAGGGAGAAACGTCCCTGAGAGAAGGATGTGCGAGGACACGGCTGCTCCTTTGGAGTCCAGGGGGTTACAGAGGGTCTATAAATTAAGAGAGAGGAATGCAAGCGGGGGAGCTGGTGCCACCCGAGTGGGGACGTGGGAGGTGCGTGTTCGGGCGTGTGTATGGGCGGGGGGGCTGCGGGGGGCAACCACCCCCCCCCCAGGGGAGCCCCGGGACGGGCCCTCGTGTAGCACCCCCCCCCCCCCCAGGGCAGCCCCGGGCTGGTCCCTCTGCCCCCTGTTTTCAGGAAGACACCGAGCTGGGGGATGCCTCAGGTGAGGTGCAGTTGGACTGATCCGAGGCTTCACTCGCATCCTTCGCAGCCCTGGAGGCAGCAGCGGGGGCGAGACCTTCTTTTTCCCTTTTCTTCTGCTTCATCCGCCTGTTTTGGAACCAGATCTTGACCTGGGTTTCGTTGAGCTCCAGGGTCGCGGCGATTTCCACCCTCCGGGCCCGGGTGAGGTACTTGTTGAAGTGAAACTCCTTCTCCAGCTCCGTCAGCTGCTTGGTGGTGAAGTTGGTGCGGATGGTGTTGGGTTGGCCCAGGAGCCCGAACTCCGACACTTTGGCTGTTAACGAGCAAACACCGACAGGGCAGGAGCAGCCAGAGCAAATTCCACCCCGGGACGAGGGGGTGGCGGGGCCCACCACAC